AGACCTTATACTATTTATGACAAATGGCAGTCCAGTCTCTTCTTGAAAGCCTCCAGAGATGAAGCTCCCACAACTTCTGAAGGCAACTTCTGTTCCATGGGTTGATTGTTCTCACTGTCAGAAAATCCCTCCTTACTTCTAGGTTGAATCTCTCCTTGGTCAGTTTCCATCCACTATTCCTTGTCTGGCCTTCAGGTGCTTTGGAGAATAGCTTGAGCCCCTCCTCTCTGTGGCAGCCCCTCAAATATTGGAAGATGCTCTCCTGTCTCCCCTGGTCCTTCTCTTCATTAGACTAGTTGTATTAATTAAGCCGTTTAAGGGAATGAAACAAAACTTACTGTTTTCTGGATCGTATTTCCTGTAAACAACATAGATCACATCCCCGGTTTGCAAAGGGCAGGTCTGTCTCTTCACCACCTTCTGTTTATTGATCACTGTTCCGTTAGTGCTGCAGAGGGAGGTAGGAAATACAGGTGGGATTAAGACGGAATTCTTTTTTTTTTTAAAGAATTTTTAAAGATAAACTTTAAACAAAACATAAAAACATCTTCTAGTTACATCCAGCGTGTCGGTTGGTTACAAAACTTTTGTGCATCCTTTCCATAGTCTCATATAAAGTCTCATATTATCAATCTAATATATATGTATAGATTATTAATCTTTTATTTGACTATAACTATTATTCCTTCATTTTATATGAGATATTCTAAATTTTGAATTAATTCATATTATAACAATTCATTATATGCTCCTAAACCCTTCCTATAATAGTACATCTCTATATTATATTCTGTGTCATTCCATTGTCCTTGTGTTGTAAAATTCACAGTCATATTTCATTTCCATATTTTTTTTTAATCTAACCATTGGTAAAATAAATCCCAAGACAGGATTCTGGATTGGCTCTTGTGTGATGGGACGCACAAGGAATTGGTCTTCGGTGCATAAGCTCTCACTGTACATAAAAGCTGTAAGTGATCAATCATGACTGTAGCCGTCGTAAAGAGGATAATGATCATTATAAGATGCCCACCCGTCTCCTTTCTACCACTGCTGACCTAGGTTAATGGCACTACAGTTCATTTAGTGACCATTTCAAGTTACAATGGCACTGGGAAAAAGTGACTTGGGGCCAATTTTCACCCTTACGACCATGGTCACATAAACAAAATTCAGACGCTTGGCAACTGGCTCACATTTTTGACAGATGCCATTTTTGACAGTCATGTGATGTTTTTCACACCCTAAGATCATGTGATCAAAATTCAAAAGCCTGAAAATTAGACTCATATTTATGACGGTGGCAGTGTCCTCTGTGTGTCAGGGTTACAAATAACATCCAAAANACGCTGCTTGAGTCGTATCACCTCAACGCTGCTTGAGTCGTATCACCTCAACGCTGCTTGAGTCGTATCACCTCAACGCTGCTTGAGTCGTATCACCTCAACGCTGCTTGAGTCGTATCAACTCAACGCTGCTTGAGTCGTATCAACTCAACGCTGCTTGAGTTGAATCAACTCAACGCTTCTTGAATCAATACTTTAGGAATCAACAGTTCTTGAGCTGTCAACATTTGGCTCTTGGGCTTTAAGACAAAATAGAGGCAGCAGGGCAACTTTATTCTCAATCCCATTCAATGACTACAAAGGTGATGTATGACCTTTCAACTGTCCTCCTGACAAAGACTACTTCTCTTTGAAGATCTACTGCGGAGCAAATGAGCTAGTTCAGCCCTTACCCTCCATCCAACCTTCTTCACTTTATTTTTTCCATCAGACATCCTTTCTCCAGCTCATCTGGATTACTCCTTTCTTTCTTAGTCAACCTATGATCATCCACCTATACCTGACACAGTCATGAAGCAGTTCCTGGCAGATGATGCAGCTCAGGCTTTCTCCCATTTTGTCGGGCTTCATGGTTGCCGATTTGACATCTCCAGGGTCAGGTCTCATTTCGTGTCCGTCTGGGGTGACCACCTGAAGGGCAGAGCTGGCTTCACCATCTGCAAGAGAGGTTCTTATGTCACATTGGGGAAGGCATGTAAAGGAAAAAACAGCATGGAACCCAACACATTGTTGCTCAACAATCAAGAGGTTGACTGTTGGCCACAGAAATAAGAGCAGCTCTTTAATGTTCACAACCCTGGATTAATTAGTGGGTTAGCTTGTCTTTCAGATGTGTGGGTACTCATCACTGGAGGTTGTCCAAAATAGAGTAGATAACCATTTGACTGAGATAGTATAAGGTCTACTGCTTTGAGCAGGAGGTTGGGCTAGAAGACCTCCAAAATCCCTATGATTCTATGTTCCATATTCTAAGGGCTGTGTGTTGTGGCCCACCAGCTGCCAGCGGAGCTGGTGATAGACTTGGACGAAGAGGAGGTTGGGGAAGAACTTGGGCCAGTTCTGGAGAAGACTCTGATGGATGCTCTGAGTTGGACGCAGAGATGGAGCCAGGGCTGTCAGACATTTCCCAGCCACCAGGGAGGCAGCTGTCTGTGGAGGCTGAGATAAGTGGGGAGGAAGAACAGCTGAGGCCTGTTCCAGATGCACATATGTGCAGAGTTGTTAGGAGCGGAGAACAACTGAGGACAAGGAGTCGACCCGGGAAGCAAAGCACACATGGACGCTGAATGGCCCTTTCCTGGCTGAGAAATAAATAGAAGGAAAGGGGAGTGATTGTCGTAGGAGACAAGAGTTCATATTTCTGAAGATTTTGCTCATTGTGTTTCATGCCACAAAGACTGCTTGCCAGAACTTAATTTATAGCTTTGGGGCTGGGAGCTCCTGGCAATTATCTCAAGGAACTGATAAGGTCTGTTGCTCCAGTTAACTCTTTGTTATTGGGATTACTGCCTGGACTTTTTGGTGTGTGAATGCCAATTAATTCACAGGAGATAAATAAAGAGGAGGTTTTCGGGACAAGAAGTCTGTTTCTTGCTTGTGCCAAGGCTGGGTCAGAACATTGTGATCTTAGCTTCTGCTAAGAAGGTATCAAATCTCTCCCTGCAGAACACAAAAATATACATTGTCATATATACCAACCTCTTCTGATTTTCTTCCTAATGGGGTAGGGTGAATCTTTTCCTTCCCTTCCGGAAAGCTGGAACATGGCTGTTTTCTCTGCATCCCTCATAGAAGCACCAGAAGTTTCTGAATTTACAACAGGCTGCCTGAGTTGAAGCAATGTCTGTGGTCCAGATGGTACCAATTTGAGCAAAGCGGGTGCAAAAATTAAGGTAGGATGTTGGGATCCTGTAATCAAGGAAAGAATGATGATCACTGTGAAGGATCTTTGGATGCAACCAAATGACTCAGGAGCAGGGTTCCGCAAGCTTGGCCACATTAAGGCTTGTGGACTTCAACTCCCAGAATTCCCCAGTCAAGCACGGCTGGCTGAGGAATCCTGGGAGTTGAAGTCTACAAGCCTTGAAGTTCTCAAGTTTGGAGAACTCCTGCTCCGGAGGAACAGTTCCCTCTCTTACTTCCTCAGCCCATCCAAAAGGTGCTTTTTTCAGGAGGCAACTGGACTTTGTTGTTTTTTTCTTTTGAAGACATTTTGCTTCTCATCCAAGAAGTTTCTTCAATTCTGACAGGAGAGTGGGGAATGGAAGGATGGAACCCCCTTTGAATGGTGTGGGAGCAGGAATGGATTTCCAGAGGAAAAAATTGCAGACTACAGGAACCATTTGCACCACTCAGGTGACCCTGAGGACACAGATAACCCTCCAAGGGGCCTCAAGGACTCTCTAAAAGGATGCAAACGACCAGCTGTCTGCAAGGANTTGGCAGAAGCTGGGACAAGTCACGGGAGCTCACTCTGTTACGTGGCACTAGGGATTCGAACTGCCAAACTGCCGACTTTTCTTATCGACAAGCTCCACATCTTAGCCACTGAGCCACCGGGTCCCCCAGTGATGAAGCTCCCACGTTAAACAACTTGCCCCACAGTTACTCATCTCCATTCTCCACTTCCAAAGGTTCTTTCCAGGAAGGATTGCATGCCGCATTGGAGCAACACAAATGCATGCCAGCAATATCATAAATATTGCAGAGAGGCAGAATAAACAGCATGGGGCCCCATCAACCCACATTTCACTGGGGCACGCAGTAGAAAAACCAGGGAAGCCAAGATCTTGATATGCTTGTGAGAAAAGTACACCTCGCCTTTCCAACCCCAGAAGATAACAACACCTGGATGTGCTCACCTGTTGGGAAGTTGGAAGAAGTTGATGGGGAATCTCCAGGAATCTGCCCAGGTTCTGTTTTTCCTTCCTGCTCGGGAAATGTGAGGGGTGGGACAGTTTGGCGACAAAAACCAGGACATTGCCGGCATAAGACATATGGCTGACTGCAAAGAAGAAGAGTCATGTTCATGAAACTGACATGGTAATTGCCACAAACTGAGTTCTGATCCAGCCCAACTATCCCCCAGTCACCTGGAAGCCTAACTGGTTCATTATGGCATGTTGTAATGTTGTAATTTAATGGGACAGTTAACCAGCTGAAAGGCTTTCCTCCAGATGTTGTGGGCGATCCATCACTGGAGGATTTTAAGAAGAGACTGGACAACCATTTGTCTGAAATGTTATAGGTTCTCCTGCTTGAGCAGGGGGTTGGACTAGAAGACCTCCAAGGTCCCTTCCAACTCTGCCATTCTGTTAACAACAGCTTCAAATTGTCATTGTGGGTCTCCTTGTCTGGGAACTCTACAAGATAGTCCTTGACTTACAATCGGTTGTTAAGAGACCATTCAAAGTTATGAACAGGAGGAGGAGGAGGAAGNCACTAACATCTCTGGGCCTTTAGTGGCTAAGATGCTGAGCCTGTCGATCAGAAAGGTCGGCAGTTCGGCGGTTCGAATCCCTAGTGCCGCGTAACAGAGGGAGCTCCCATTACCTGTCCCAGCTTCTGCCAACCTAGCAGTTCGAAAGCACGTTAAAAATATGCAAGTAGAAAAAGAGGTAACAGCGTTCCATGCGCCTTCGGCATTGAGTCATGCTGGCCACATGACCACGGAGACGTCTTCAGACAGCGCTGGCTCTTTGGCTTTGAAACGGAGATGAGCACCACCCCCTAGAGTTGGGAACGACTAGCATATAAGTGCGAGGGGAACCTTTAACCTTGCTATAGCCCTTAAGCTGTGAATATCAACTTCCTGTGAATGTTTAACCCGATTCTTAGGATGACCTTGAGGTCTATTTCTGACAGCTTAGTACCATTAGGAAAGGATCAATCTTACACCCACACATTCCATTTTTAAACCTCAACCGGAAGCATTCAAAGACAACTCCCAGTTGTAGAGAGTATGAGGTCTGGATAACTGGAAGGTCATTTCTTTTAGTTTGATTTACAAGTAATGCTCTTCTATCCCCAATCACAGCTGTCCTGCCTTAACATTTCCTACAATCATATGGTTAGATTAGATTAACAGAGTTGGAAGGGGCCTTGTAGGTCATCTAGTCCAACCCCCGCCCCCCAAGCAGGAGACCCTACACCATTTTTGACAGATGGCAGTCCAGTCTCTTCTTGAAAGCCTTGAAAGTGATGAAGCTACCGCAACTTCTGAAGGCAACTTCTGTTCCATGGGTTGATTATTCTCACTGTCAGAAAATCCCTCCTTATTTCCAGGTTGAATCTCTCCTTGTTCAGTTTCTATCCATTATTCCTTTTCTGGCCTTCAGGTGCCTTGGAAAATAGCTTGATCCCCCTCCCCTCTGTGGCAGCCCCTCAAGTATTGGAAGACTGCTATCGTGTCTTCCTTAGTCCTTCTCTTCACTAGCCTAGCCATGTCCAGTTCCTGCAACCATTCATCATGTTTTAGTCTCCAGGCCTTTGATCATCTTAGATAGATTCAGATTAAGAGAGTTGGAAGGGACCTTGTAGGTCATCTAGTCCAAACCCCCCCCCCCACCCAAGCAGGAGACCTTATACTATTTATGACAAATGGCAGTCCAGTCTCTTCTTGAAAGCCTCCAGAGATGAAGCTCCCACAACTTCTGAAGGCAACTTCTGTTCCATGGGTTGATTGTTCTCACTGTCTGAAAATGTCTCCTTATTTCCAGGTTGAATCTCTCCTTGGTCAGTTTCTATCCATTATTCCTTTTCTGGCCTTCAGGTGC